TCCGCTGTCACGATTTTTTTTTTTTTTTTTTCTATTGAAACAATTGTCGATTTTTTTTTTCTCGTCGAAAATCGAGACTTATGAATTTATTATTAAAGAGCGATATTTTTCGTTTGGACAATTGGAAGGATGTCTATATCGAGAATATTTTGTTTTTTTTCTGTGATTTTCAATAGTGTTAAGGAACGGTATTCGGAATTTTTGAAAATTAATAAAGAAGATGTATATGGAAAAAGTGTTGTACGATGAGATACAGGTATGTGATGGTGTTTGGAATTTTTCAAAGTTGATAAAAGTTTAGAGGCTTTGAGAAAATATTTTTAACGTATACGTAATGCTATTTGGAAATTTTTGAAAGTTAATAAAACAGGGATCGTTTTGCAAAAATATTTTTAGAATATGGAAGCACAATGTTATATGGAATGTTTTAATTTTGATTACGTCAAATTAAAAAGCGATGGTGCTTTATAAAATTTATTTTAAGAATGGAAAATATTTAAACCTTCTTTAAATTCATATTAAATAAGAAAGAAAGTAAATTATCCTGTCTAATTGTTACAATCATTTTATCTAAGCTCAGATAAAAGAAAAGAAAATAAATTTGTTTAATTTAAAAAAAAATTGAAAAAACATTATATAGGAAATGGGTTATATTTCTATATAGAATCATATTTCTTTTAAATGATATTATATTAAAAGGTTTTGTAAAATTGGGATCAACATGTGCCTCTTTTCCTCGTTTACTTTGCAAGAAACAGACACAACATTTTCATCAATTAAACATGAATAACCAACAGCAAAAAATCATGTATTAAATTTCAATTCAGACGTCAGATTCGAAACTGAAATTAGAAGATCGTCTTTTTCAATGAATGAAACAAAGTAAACGAAGTAGCGAGAGAGGCAGGGTGATAAAAAGAGATGGGAATATACTCGTAACAGAGGTAGAAACTGGATAGAATACGTGACTGTAGGGGCCTCTGGTATCGATCTGCAAACCAGGTGCACCACGCCCAGCTATTAATTAATAACTGTTCAAACGGCCATGGCGAAACTTTTGGCAAAAATGGGAACTATCATTTTTTTTTTCAAGAAAAAATATCATTCAAAACGAGAATGATATATATATATATATATATATATTAAATCTTTGTAAGAAACTCGATCATTGATAATCACTTAAAACTATTTACAATCGAATAAATAGAAATAAAAACAACATGAACGAGAAAATAATTTAAAATTGTTTAAAATATAATTACAAAAGGATATTTTCAAATTTTTAAAAAAATAATTGCCATTTTACTTATTTTAGAAATTAATAAATCTCTTCAAGTCCTCTTATATATTTTTCGCGAAAAGTAATTGTCCTGTTATATTATTTTATTACATCAACTAAAAATTAATTTAATCGAGAAAGAAACAACTTCATTTCAATCTCATTCCTCTCACAATTAACGTAAGACGTGGACAATTAATCAAGCATTAACATTAGCGTCGGGATATTTTTTTTGAATTTAATAGTCCATTTAGATTTATCGAAAATTATCCACTTTCTTCTCAACGTCGATCGAAATAAAATATATATAAATGGATAATTCAAATTTCCAATTCGAAATCGAGTATATCGAATAATATAAATAGCACGTTTATAACAAATTGTCAAACGTTTACGCAATTCAAGTAATTGTTATGCTCGTTAATTATTCAGTTTAATATATGTGAGTACTCGTAATCGCTTTATATCGATGGGTCGTAATCGCGGATCGGATCGATTTATCACACTGCGGTAACAACAATACTCCTTTTTGCACGAAGAGACTTACAACACGTGAACAGTGACGTCAATGCCTGAGCATGATTAATTAAAAATGTAGTTCGAACGCCGTGACCTTCGACCTATCCTTTCAATTTTTATTAGGCGATAATTATTGAGTCTATTCCGTATCGGTCTTCGTAAATCTCTTTTTTAATTTTTCTTTTTTTCTTAAATTTCTCCCGTTTTTTCATCGTATGGAAATGGAATATGATAAAGTTTCATTTCCATTATTATTATATCTTTTTCTTCTTTGATTCGTTGGATAAGCGACTTGGGATTTGAGATTAATTCTCTGTGAAAATTTCTTTTGGAAGAAATTTCGGTGGATGGAATATTTCGTTATTATTTTAATCGTATTATCCGTTCCTTGAATCGAAAATTCAATATTGAGTGAGTATATATGTATAAATAAAGAAAAAAAATAAAGAAAAATGCTATGATATAATAGGATGTAACAATAATAATAATATATAATGGTTAAAGAGAAATTTTATATTCCATTTTTTATCTTTATATAGAAGAGAACGTTTTTAATATTTTACATTTATATATTTTGAAATTTTAATTCCATGAACGAGTAATATATATATAGATTAAAATTTATATTATCCCACTTTATTTTTATTTCTTATAGGAAGATTATGAAAGTAATAGATATAGGTTTTATAAAATTTTTAAAAAGAGGATATGAAATATGAAGGAAAGAATAGAACTTTTTTTAATAAAATGTAATATAAAAAATTTTTTATCACAAAGGTGGTTAGCTTGATTTAAAATATTAAATATTTTTAAACGAAAGAAAAATTTATTCTATGGAATAAATTTTCTAATGTTTTGAAACTTCTTTAATTAAAAAGTTTCTTTGAAAATGCAAATATTTTCTGCATGCATTGTAAAACTATTTACAGAATAATGGAATGTTCTAATACAAATTTTATCGAATACAGAATAATTTTAATTCTCCCTTCATATTTATTTTATCATACTGATATATTAACTTATTTACTCGTATACTCCCTTATTTTATCCTCTACTCACGACATGATACAATAAACTAATAAGAAAAGATGTCTGATAGAATGAAGCAAGGAAAAAAATGGTGGAATAGTTTAAGTTTATAAATTTTTAAAAAATGGAAACAATGATATTTAGCTCACATCATTTTATTATTTTTATGTCAAATTATTAGAGAAATGATAAAAAGGATGCAGAAAACGTGTATTCTATATTTGATAATGGAATCAAATTAATTTCACAAGAATATTATTAGATATAATGATTCTTTTATACTTGCGAAATATAACATTTAATTCCTCGGCTACTAGAATCAAGAAGGCACAATTCTTTCTAATTAAAGATCTTTGATAATTTTAAATTTAATTTCCAGATAGTATTATTATTAAAATAAATTATTAAACGAAAGAAGAAAATAAAAACACAAATTTGATTTACTCAAATCTACTTACTATATATTTAACCCTAAATTTTCTAGAATTCGTGATGTAATACGACGAAGCATAATATAAACGTTATCAAACTTCTTTCTTTAAAAAAAGAAAAAAAGAAAAATTACAGATGTCGCGATGAAAATCGGCACGTTTAACGTGAAAATGGTTATGAAATTCGAAGGGCGGGAAGAAGGATTGCAGAATTGTAGGAAATATCGTGGACCGTTGATCTCCCTACGATAAATATTATCCACCCTCGCGTCGCGTTGGTAACGAGAGATCGTATCTGACGGCGTTGCGTGTCATTTGCATATTTCAGCCGGAGGCGTCGGGTAGATCCTTGCTTTCGGCAATCTGAAATGCGCGAGGGTGGCGGCCGCGGTTCGATTTACATTTCAGTATCGAAACGGTACCCTCTCCCCTCCCCCTTACCCTCAGGTGGCTAACGTGGCACGAGCAAAGTGACGAGAGTAAACAGTGTTTGCTCGACTTTCACGATGTCGATGTTTCAATTATCTTTCGAAATTTTAACGAGTTAATTGGAAAAAAAAAGGGGCGATCATCATCCCCTTTGATATAAATTGAAATTGGATTTTTTTTTGAAGGATAATGAAAAAAAGAGAGAAAAATTTATTTGCAACCATGAATTAATTGAATTTAATTTAAAATTTCGTTTCGAAAAATTGGGAGTTTATTTTTTTTTATTTATTTAAAGATCGCAATTTCAGTATCTTTTCCTTTGCTTGAATTGTTTGATCGAGTAACTTAACTCGACGTAAGTATTAAACCTACCCTTCTCTACGAGTTTTCCTACAAAGGATAAACAATTGTGATGACTTACCCTGGCAGGACATGGCGAACTGTCCCTGGAGAGACTGCCGAGAGTCACCAATAAACGACGTGAGGCCCCCAACACCGAATCCCGCCATCCCTCTGTAAAAATAAACGCAGAATCCTGTTATTTATTGCAAAATATTTTCTTTTTTTAGAATTTATATGCAACGATTCCAGCAGTGAGTGAAAATTGTTTAACATTGTATAAATATCAATTAAAAAATAAAATAAAATATTTATTTTATAATTATATAATTTGAATACATAGACAATATTATTTATTTTTCTTTTTCAATAATAAAAATTGCATTAAGAAATATAAATATCATCTGTGCCAAAATTTTTGTGTCTACTTTATTCTCTAAAATATCCTTCAAATATATTTATAGAAAATATTAACACTTAAACTACCAATTCCACAATATGAAAACAATGAAATTACATGTATGTATGTTTTTATTTATTTATGAAACACAAATACTTATATATATATATACATCTATAATATACAAGATATATCAGAACTTAAACTAGCAATTTCATAATATGAATTTCACAAAACATGAGATTACAATATGTTTATATACATAAGAAACATGGACAATACATGGTAATTTATAATGGAACTTTCGTATAGCTAAAAGTTGGAATACCAGATATTCTGGAATTTCTTCTACTGGTAAACATTATTTATCCAAAACGATATACGTTTTACTGCTTCGAATATTTAGCATCGCGTGGCATAATGCGAATAAGAGAGGAGAATACAAGAGTAGGAGGGGGGAAGAACGGTGACAGGGTAAGCCACAGGGGAGTTTCATATTGCTGGATTAAGCGTTCAACTTCCACCTTCGACTATGATTCCGTCTTTCCTTAGCTCGGTGTCTTAAGCCTGCTAAGTTATGGCCACGATTTTCATTAAACGGCTAGATGACGGATCGCTTTGTCTCGTTTAGATTACGGTCGGTGATGAAAACGGATTTAATCAAGGAATATCCAATATTAGGTGGCGATTATTTTAACTGGTAGTCGAGCTACTTCATCGAATCGTGATTTCTTTAAAGATTGGATAATAAAGGAATATTAAAATTAATTTGACGCTTTATTTTCTTTTTTGCTTTCGTTATTTATTATTTCTTATTTATAGTATACACTTTGATGTAAATTAAACGTTGAAATGTATTAGTAAAAAAATATAATAGCAATAGTAGTAGTATTTTTCTTTACTGATTATATAATTTTGATTTATGAGAAAGAAATATATGGCAGAGACTCAAAATTCTATTAATCGTAATATCTCATTACATCTCTACAACTTTCAACCACTACTAAAAATGATATTATTCACATACACTCAACATTTACACGATTTCACGACGAAGCATTCAAAACGAAGATAGAATTTCACAAAATTTAATTCGAAACATTGTTATTCCATTTCAAAAACAATTTACTTCCTACTATTAAATATTGCTCTCTAACACGTAATTTAAATTAAATTATTTAAATTATCCTCGTACATTTATAATAATTTGAAAGGAAGAAGATTCGTGAAAACTTGATTGGAAAAAAAAGAAGCTCTCCTTATATCTATAATAACACGATGAAATTTACTTCACTTGCACACGCAATTGTAGGCATACACAATGATAAAGTCAAAGAATGGAGGAGGATGGAAAAGATGAAGAGATATATGGTTGCAACGTGGCCACAACGCGGCCTCCGGATTAATAAATCTCAATTACGCGAGTTAATACCAGGAGGGGCAATTCTCTTCCCCGGGCAAGGAACCGGATACGAGAGAGTGAACGCATTTCTACTGAAGCATTGTCGGTGGAACAATGACGATGACGATTCCGGGGAACCGCCTTCGCTTGTGCAAAGTGCGCCGCGACGCTTGAAATTTATCGCCGTTTATCGATCGACCCTTTTTCCTGTTAACGCCCTTTTGTACGTGATGACACGAAAAATATTATTACATATATATTTTTCTTGTTTAAAAAACTTTTATTTATATTAATATACATTTTTTTTTGTAATTTTATTTTCGTTTTTATACGCGAATGCGTTTTGTGTTATAAGCATTAAGCAAGATTGGAATTTAATAGGATTTACAAAAAAGTTTGTTTATGTTAAAATTTTATCATTTTATGTTCGTGTAAAAAATAGGGAAGCATTGATCTTTGATATTTATTTTTGGAATTTATCTTTTTATGTTTGACGTAAATCATTTGTTATCCGAAAAAAATTGAAAATTTTATAACAAAAGTATATTATAAATATTTTCAAATGGGTCATAATCCATTGTTCGTAATTCAAATTTATAAAGCTGATATATCCTGCGTTCATAAAATATTGTATTCTTGTTTGAGATTAAGAATTCAATATTTTCAAAACGAGCAGAAAAATATTTATAATATTTATAATATTTAAATCGAAGATTTTTCTTTTATTTCTCACTTGCTACAATTATGACATAAAAATCATAATTACAAAGAAGACGAGTTTAAATGTTTCTAATCTATAAGAATACCTAAAAATATTACATATTAAAATTTCAAATTCGAGACTTGGTCAAATTCGAGGTTTAAATTCGCTCATAAAACTCTATCAATAAAAAGTACGATTATTCAATTAACAATTAAAAAATACAATTCACGTCATTACTTATTGCAGTAGACAAACGATCATATTTGTGCAAAATTTCTACAAATATTTCCACATTTTCTTCAAAAGATTCTTTCTTCAAAAACGGACGGTTGGAAAAATATTTCAATCGAAAAGTTTTCCTACTATGCTAATCCTGTTCCGCGCGCACACGTGAAGCAAACGTCTAGCGCGCAAACATCGCGGAATATAAATGCGTGCTCCCGTTTGCACGTCGAATTAAACCGAAATAAATCATAAATATTAAACGAGGCTTTCAGTCGCGGGATTACGAGGGGTGCACCCGTCCCCACGAGCATCTCTCTCTCTCTCTCTCCCCTCCTTTCTCCTGCACTCCCTCGTTTCCTCCATGCAGCCGGAAATTGCGCAAGTCCTTTCCTTCCTTCCTTCCTTCCTTCCTCTTTCGCAGACTGGACGATTTCAATGACAATGAAACCCGATAAAGGCGCAACTCTCCCACTTTGCGTTAGACCACTGACCACAGCACGAGATGACCTTAAGATCAAGTGGCGCCACTAGTCATCCTTAAAGCTGGAACACCCTTGGCTAACCTCAAAATTTCTTCTCGGATGTCTTTTAGTTGCACAATTGTGAATAAAAAATGTATTTTCGTTTCTATAATTATTGACAAATTTCTTTATATGTATTTTTTATATATTCTGTCTTGTATATTTCGAAAAAGAATAATTTAACTCTCTGTTAGCTTGTTGTTTGAAAAATATTTCCAGTCGAAATTGTGAACAAAACTAGTTGAAAAATGGTAAAAGTTATATATGTATAATTTATGATTTGTATGCACAAAAATTTTCATCATTGATCAGGTTTTTTTCAAAATACGTAATTTGCTATTTGCAACTAATTATTAATTATAAGAATCTATTTTCATTCTTGTATTGTTATGGCAAATGAGGGACACGTATTCAAAATGTTATTAACAAAGGATAGAGATGAAACGAGAATTAATTTCTACTTTCCATCGAGCTTGTCTTCGAACAATCGTTAATTTTGATCGATTACTCGAAATAGTATTTCGTATTATTTAATTGATCGAAACATCACCGCGTGTTTGTTTTTATCTTTGCCAGCAAATTGAAACGACACAACGATGTTCAGTGTCAAGTTTGACGAAAAATAATTCGTTGGTGTATGCACGTCAAGGACAAACTTCTAACGAGTAAGTTAAACAACGCTTGATAACTGAGTGCAAATTACGAAATCACGACTTTCGAAAACACGTCACGAGAAATTGAGGAAACGTTTAGGAACTAATTTTCGATGTAAAGTTTAATTACTCTACGAGGAGTGGTAGAGAAATTTACGATAAACGTTAGTCATAAATTTTTCTACCGTTTACGAACAAAGTTTAATTGAGATATATATTATTTGCATTTGTTTGGATTTATTTGAGATTCTTTGATATTATGATAAAATCTTTGGAAGTCTTACTTTCATTTCAAATCGTTTGCATATTTAATTCGTTTTGGAATTTCATTCTTTATTTTATTTTATTTCTAATTTTCTCCTTCAATCGAAAAATCGCAAAATTGTTTTAAATACACTGTACCAACAGAGCTGTAATAAATAAATAGATGAGAATTACAGTGATTGTAAAAATATTTACCATTATGTTTATTAAAGTTGATCAATTAAGTCTAAATATACGATTGTAAAAATTAATAATAAAATTACCATTTAATTTTTTAGAATTTCTCTTTCAAATATTCTTCTTCAACGTCTCTTCATACACAAAACTTAAAATCCTTGCAACAATATCATCTTAAAATATAAATAAATAAATAAATAAAACTTTATTCAGAAATTAAACAAATTTTCAAATCTTCTTCCTTTTCTTTTTAATATCTACCTAGATCTTCATCTTTCAACATTCTAGGAGAGGGAGGAGGTGGAAGAAGAAGAATAATTTCGCACCTGGAAGGAAAAAGCGCAACGAGGGACTTTTTTCTCCCTGGCTCGAAAGCCACGAAGGAAAGCCACCCGCGCCCCCGAGATTGGTCTCGTGGAGGGATTTCCACGAGAGAATGGTAAGAAGAAAATCGATGGTCGTTCAAGCCGTATCCTCATTCGCCTCTTCCCGGAACGAAATGGCTTGATTAACTGACGACGAACGCGTCGTTACTTCGACCACCCTGCTGGTCCACTATTGCCTTGCAGCAGGGGTGGTCGTCCTCGATGCTTTTGGGGGTGCACCGGCAAGAAAATGCGAGGGGGCGTAACCCCCCTCCTCGGTCTTTATTCGCCTTTGCTCGATCACGTCCGCGGTTTTCTTTTGACCCTCGATGAAAAAAAAAAAAAAAAAAGAAGAAATCCCTCGTTGCAACGCTAAAAAAGCACGATTCTTCTCGAGGGATCTCTTCTTTGACGAGCTGATCGATCGATTTGATAATTTCATCGTGAGGAAATTTTAAATTTAC